CAATTTTTGTTCAGGTCAGTGAGTAGCTGTGATGTCTGTCTTCTATAGAGATATTCAGGTAAATAATGATGTCCCCTCTTGTGGTTAAGAGATTCGGAAAGTTTCAGCCAAATAAGGTTGATTCTTTCTATTAATATAAGAGAGATAAAAAAGGTCTGAATAACTACAATGGTGTATCTAGAGATAAATGATCGTTTGTTCTGCAGTCAGATTATGAGTCATCGTTTTTGTGCTCAGTTGTTGTTGGTTGATGTTGTTGTGTGGTGTGTTGTGTTAGGTGAGTACACATCATCGTCATATCAAATATAGCAGCTCTGTGACGAGTGTATGTATTCACTTCGTTTTACGACCTTTATTCCCTGGTTTTGAATCTTTCTCTTATCTTGAGATTACTGTCATTGTATTTGTTTTATAAACCAAACATATGGTTATTTTGATGATTGTTTTTCGCAAACTCTATGTTAGAGGCAGCAGCTGGAGTATGACGGGGGATCGGACACAATCTCACCTCCCGGGGGGAGGTCACTGAGGTCGTCAACAACTTCACGAGTGGCCAAAGCCCCGGGGGTGGATGACATCCGCCCAGAAATGCTGAAGGGCTCTGGGTGTTGAGGGACCTGTCCATGGTTGACACGTCTCATCAACGTTGCGGTGGAAGTCGGAAACAGTTACCGAAGGAGTGGCAGAACGGGGTTGGTGGGTTCCTCTTTTTAAAAGGGGGATCATAGGTGTGTGCCAATTTACAGCAGGCATCACACTACTCAGCCCTCCCAGGAAGTTTACTCTAAGGTACTCAAAGGAGGTCAAAGGCCGATTGGTCGAACCTCAGATCTGAGGGAGGAACAATGCGGATTCCGTCCTGGTCTAGGAACGACGGATCAGCTTTTTACTCTCGCAAGGATCCCTGGAGGGGGCCTGGGAGTGACGCTTATCCGTCCTACATGTGTCTTTGTAGAACTTGGAAGAAGGCGTATGACCGGGGTTCCAGGGAGTCACTGTGGGAGGTGCTGCGGGAGTATGGGGGTGAGGGGTGTCTCTCTCCAGGTTGTTCCCCATTCAATCTCTGTACTCCCAAAGCGCGAGAGCTGTGTCCGGGTCCTCGGCAGTAAGTCGGACCCATTTCAGGTGAGGGTTGGCTCCTCCACCAAGGCTGCGCTTTGTCACCAATCCTGTTTGTAATATACATGGATCGGATTTCGAGCGTAGTCCGTGGGGGGGGGGGGGGGGGGTTTGCAGTTCGGTGGACTGAGGATTGCACCCACTGCTTTTTGCAGATGATTTGTGGTTCTGATGGCTTCATCGGTCTGCGACCTTCCAGCACTCACTGGATCGGTTCGCAATCCGAGTGTGAAGCGGCTGGGATGAGGATCAGCACCTCCAAAATCTGAGGCCATGGTTCTCAGGCAAGGAACCGGACGTCCACTCCAAAGTAGGGAATGAGTCCTTACCCCAAGTGATAGGACTTCAGTATCCTCGGGGTCTTGTCTCGAGTGAGGGAACAATGGAGCGTGAGATGGGTCGGCAGAATCGGAGCAGCGGGAGCGGTACTGCCAAGTCGCTTTAACGCACCGTTGTGACAAAGGCAAAGCTCTCTACCGCGCCATTTTCGTTCCTACCCTCACCTATGGTCATGAAGGATGGGTCATGACCAAAAGAACGAGATCGCGGGTACAAGCGGCCGAGATGGGTTTTCTCCGCAGGGTGGCTGGTGTCTCCCTTAGGGATAAGGTGAGAAGTTCGGTCATCCGGGAGGGACTCGGAGTTGAACCGCTCCTCCTTCGCGTCGAAAGGAGCCAGTTGAGGTGGTTCTGGCACCTAGTTAGGATGCCACCTGGGCGCCTCCCTAGGGAGGTGTTCCAGGCACGTCCAGCTGGGAAGAGACCAAGGGGTAGACCTAGAACCAGGTGGAGGGATTATATCTCTTCGCTGGCCTGGGAGCGCCTTGGGATCCCCCAGTCAGAGCTGGTTGATGTGGCCAGGGAAAAGAAAGTTTGGGGCTCTCTGCTGGAACTGCTACCTCCCCGACCCGACCACGGATAAGCTGGAGAAGATGGATGGATGGATGGATGGATATCGCAGTGGGGCGTGGCCAGCAGCAGCTCATTTGCATTTAAAGCAGAATCAGCACTTTTTAATATTAAAATGATTTGCCCTTTTACATTTGTTAGATTAAAGTGCTACAGGTTTTTTTTGCCTGCTGACCGGCTGGTCCTGTGACTCGTATTTTTTTTGTAACTAGCTGATGCTCAATCTCATCCTCTTCTTCAAAGTCACTGTCAGACTCAGAATTTTCAGAAATGTGATCCTCACATTCTGAAACCTCTTCCTCTACATCACCATCAAATGGTTCTATCTCTTCCAAAATCGATTGCAAGACCCTCTGAGCAGAGAATTGTTTGTCCATCTTGATCAGTTGTGCTAAGGACCCAAACTGGCAAAGCTTTATTTATTGTTTCCCGCCCCAAATTTGCAGCTGGGCTAGAATGTGAAGCGGTTTATGGCATGCTACAATTATCTGTTTAGTATTTCAAGCAAAACACTTCAGAGACATGTTTTTATATATCTGAGACCTATAATATATTGTTGAAAAAGAGTATAATAGGGGACCTATTATTATGAAACTATTTCTCGATTTCTAGCAAATGGCCTCTTCCCTTCTTCTTATCAAACCTACTTCCGGAGCTCTTGCTCAGACCAAACCCATCTTTGCACACAATCCTCATTTTGGTGTCAACCACACAACTCTCAAGTTTCTAGAACTCATTTTGCATGGTTACAACTATCAGTGACAGACAGATAAACAAACAAACACCTGTCACGTTACTCATTTCTGTAGTAACTTAAGTTATGAAAAGTCACACTTTGTCTCTACATGACTCTGACAATCTATTAAATGTTTCTTTAAGTTACCATTGCCTGTGGTTTCACTGCTAGTTGCTGCTACTGGAGGGACATCTTGGCAGGCAGAAGCAAAAGATGCCAGAGCTTGTAAACACAGGAATTGGCAAAACGGATTGTACCAAGTGCATGCCCAATAATGGGGGGCATTGGGGATTTATAGTTGGGAGGTTTGGTGGTGCTTATGTTAATTGCTAAATTAAATTTCCTGTTTTGTTTAATATGTAGTGCCATTGGTAGCTTTTGGCTGTTTAAATGTTTGTTTCGAAATGTTACACCGCATGCATGCATGGTCCTCCTTGGTATTGTTTAAAGATGCCATACAAAACTGAATATCATTATTTGCTTGTTTTGCTACATGTTTTAGAGCGAAAACACTGGAACGCAATAATGTATCAACATGTGCATACAATTGCTTGTGCCTTTAATACAACCATAATATTTATACTGCATATAGATATAGATATTTATAGATAGACTGTATATGAGCCAATGTAAGATACGTCTCATGCGGGATTATAAATGCATGCTTTACTTTTATGCAACTTTGACTGAACTTACACAACAAAGGCAATTTGGCTCTAACATGGCAAACAATTGGATAATAAAACCTCTTACATTTTCAGAAAGCGAATTGTGAACCCATCATTTTCACTTATTTTGTTTTAAAAGTTCTCTAAATTGTTTTATAGAGTGTCACTTGTGGTCATTGTCCACCATACCACCATATAAAATTATCATTGGGGAAACAATAACGTTTCAGATATGGTTTACTGTCCTGAATCATGGACAAATACAGCATGTTTAATGTGAGGGAAAGTAGGGATTACAGACAGCACAGAATGTATCAGAGTTGTAGTTCAGACAGTGATATGAGCATCTGACCGAGATCATTTTTGTTGTTGTTTTGTGCACGCTGACCCAGCTAAACAATCTGAAAACTGAACAACTGAACAAACAGGAAACCATTCATCCAGGGCCAAGTTTTTCCAAAAGCTTCCTTCTGAAGCTCCAAAATTGCCTTTGTTCTTTTATGAGCCAAGCGACAATGATGTTCCAGGATTAATTTGCTATTTGGATACTGAGCCCGGTCCAGTTATGTAAGAAGTGACGACAATCCGGCTCAGCTCTCATGTGGGACAGGATGTATCAGCTTCTTGTGTATATAACAATAGAATATCAATGATGTTTAATGAGAGATTTAATTATACATTTAACCAAAGTTAAGTTAATGAAACCGATCAAATGTTTTGACAAAACACTACAGGTAAATTGGGTTAAAAGAGATCTCTAAATTTCACCTTTATTTTTTATTTTAAAGTTTGCTGATGTAATGTTCAAATATGCAAATGAGCCACATTGAATATGTGCTTGTTTTGGTGAATTTTGGAAAAATCCCATCCACAAATAGAAAAAGTATGATACAATAAACACTTTGATAAGTATTGTATGTGTTTTCTTTCTGCTAGTCTACATGTTATGGAAGCAAAATAGCCGACACTCAAAAATAAGAAAATGTGTGCCTGAAGTCCCTCTCCTTGATGAGATGAGGGCAATCAGAGATATCACAGCGATCAACATCTGAGTAACAAGTCGGTCAGCTTCATTTCCTTTTTTATTTTCCTTGAATACGGACTTCCTGCTTTGATTTTTCCTGCCTTTTGTATGTCCATAGATGTTTCATTTCATGTTATGGGAGTTTCCATCCAAGTCTGGAGAAACACTTCTGACTGTGGGCCAGCCCATTATGTGGGACATTTTTTATAGGCTCAAATTATTCCTAAATTTTTCCTAAGTTTGGACCAAAACTCTCAGTATGGAAAAATCTGTCCATAGATGACATGACAACTATGTTAAATATGTACATTTTAGTTTATTGTTGATGCTGTTGATTTGCTAAATAATCAATGGCAGAATCCAGAATCTCATATCTGGTAAAATGACCAGGGGTATGATTCAAATAGTTATTTCTACACATACAGAAATTAACTTAACTAGAAAAAACTAAAAGTATTACTCACATTAAGACATGCAGAAAATACTTTTCACAACACCCACAATAAAAGTAATTGTTGACTTCTGAGAATACAGTGACCTTGTATTAATGAAGCAATATTCTTATTTATCTCAGCCTTTAATCACAAAGACAACTGTGCACTTTTTTTTTTAGCTCTGAATGAAATCCAACCTTATCATAGTGGTGACCCTATACTTGAAAATAAAAACTTTACAACACACAGAAACTTTAAGAACTTGACTTGTTATTTTAAATCTGGAATGAAATAAATATGACTATAGGCCTACATAAAATGTAATTAAAGACAGCGGACTGCGTGTTGAGTACAACAGTACATTAAGAACTTTTTTTGATATTTGTTCATGTTGCACCATCATAATTAGTCCTTACAGGAGCACAGGAAACAAATCACATTGGTGCCCCTGTTTTAAGCAGACAAAAGACTGAGGCCAATTTATGTCCTGTGCTATTGGCAAATGTTTAAATGTGATAATATGCATTTGGCGCAAAATTGCCCACTTTCTTTGTAATGTTTTTGCTATGCTATTTTTTTGTTCATTGCAAATACAGCCCAATATGTAAAACTCAGATGCCTCATGCAGTTACAGGGAAATTGCTGTCTTCAGGGTTTTCACAGCCAGACATTTGACATATTTTATTCTCAGCTAGACTTCCTGCCATATTCTTTTAGAGTCTGACACCAACAGCAGAGACAGACTGAGATAGTATACCATAATGTACGGTTTCTCTCACAGGCATTCCATGACTGGCTGTAAGTGTATCAGACACAAAAAGAGAAAACTGCAAAATGAGACTTCCAGACTTATATTTAAAAAGAATAATAAAACCTAATAAAACTCCCTCATCAATGCATCCTATATTCATGAACCTACATATGGACCTTAAAATGTTGCTCCAATACAACAAGTCAATAAAATACACATTAACTCAACTTAAATGCTATCTAAACTATCTCATCGTTTTACACACTAATGTTTTCTGTGACAACAAACAGTTGACAAGACAATCTCTGGATTACAATCAAAACGCCACATTTTCCCTTAAACTGTCCTGATAGTAATCAAGGGCTTACACTTCTGATACAGTGATTTGAGGCAAACATTGTACTCTGTAAAAATGGCTTAAAAAAATGTCAGGGATCACTGAAAAGTTTCATCGACAGCATTGAAATAAATAATGGCACTACTGTATGTTAGCATCATTCGTTCCAACCAGCTACCACAATCAGAGAAATGCAAAAAGATTATGAAAAATGACAGCTCATCCACAAAACAGTTTTTCAGAGAAGGAAGGTCCGCCCCACAGTTGTCACTTTTAGAGTGTATAATATGTTGAAGCCCCAAGAGAAGGGGGAGTAGCAAGCCGGCTGTGCCCCCAGACGATTAACTGAGATCAGGCTGTGCTGCAGCTACACTACCCTGTTCTTCACCGACCTTGGTCCTCCTTTTCTGTCCTGTGAAGGAATGGACTGTCCTTCCTTTGTCCGACATCTTTGTCCATTTACCATTGATCCTGCTGGGACCTTACTGTCCATACATTCCTTTCAAACAATGAGGAACAGCTGGGTGCTAGGAGTAGATGGTAATGACTTCCCGACCGCCTCCACGAACCAACAGGACACGGTCTAGGCCGTCCATCAGGACCTCCAGAAACTCCATATCTGAGAGTCAGTTTGGTTAAAGACAAACTGTACATTACAGCAACACAAGCTGCCATTTTCAGATTTGTATACTTTTAATCTCAATTTCTTCATCTGGAAAGTACTCTGATCAGTTGTGAATACAGTATTTGCGACTTGCAAATCCTAACAAGTTGTACTAATTTAAGTAATACCCTCCTTTGCATTCTTGCTGAGAGTTAGACAAGAAGATTAATTGCACTTTTTAGTATGGTAACAGCTACAGTCAGCAGCCAGTTAGCTTAGCTTAGCATTAGGACTGAAAGCAGGGATAAACAGCTAGCCTTGAACTATTCCTTCAATATCTTAACAATATCATTATCCTTTGACCAATTTACTGTCCAAATAATGGCATTGCTAATTAAAATAAATGTACTGATTTTGCCCAAAAGGATACAGTTCTCGTCCCCTTTCTTGTTCTTCGGGGGGCCCGGCATGTTTAGCAACACCAGCTGGGAATCTTTGGATTTCTTGAGCACCACGCCGTTCAGCTTCACAGCCGTGTGCATCCTCCGTACGTTGGACTGGTTGCTACATCAGAGCAGAGATGTTAATAACAGCATTGGATAACATATCTTTCACAGCTGAGTATGATTTTCTCAATCAGCAGTATGAGTGATTGAAAATCTGGTGATCATGAAGGCAAATACATTACTCAGTCACATGCAGCCTCCATAGTTGTGATCATGCACTCTGACTCTCATGCAAAGTGGACTAAAGATCTAATGGCATGCCAATACGCAATTGATCATCACACTGTACATTCACAGATAGCTCATGCACGTTTATAAAAAAGAATCGAAAGTTGAAGAAGTGACTTACAGGTTTTCCCACTCACTAGAAAAAAAGGTGCAAAAAAACAAAACATGTCCAACATCAATGCATAATAATAAGGGCTAAACCTTGAGATATGGATTAAATAGGGCTTGTTTGTCCTGATGCAGTATAAACATACAAAAAAAGATCAACATTATCGAAGGCAAACCTTGAATGACACAAAAGGCAATATGATGAAGAGCAGCCATAAAAAAAGAAAAAAAGAGTTTAACCCATTTTTAATGTTATCAGCCCATTAAAGCGACTGTGAAATGAGCGAATGACATCAATCCACACATGATCACAGTTTTAAACAAAACTACTTTGTTAGGTTATGTTAAGACTGTTATGCAAGTCTGCCTATATATGTTAATTAAAATAAGTAATTATTGAATTTGATATCACTACAGGACACAAACAGATGTCTTTAAATGAAGGTCCTGTGTTGCACACTAGCAGCATATGTGAATTTATTTATGATTTCAACAACATTGATACGAGTACGACATATTAAAACAATAAGTAAAATCCTACGACTCAAAAATGTATTATGTTTGCCCTTAGTTGAATAAAAACTGAATGTTTGACGTGTTGGGCGCTATAACAGCATTTATTTTTTATTTTCTTTCAAATCTACTTACGGTTTCATGTTGAACATGTCCTTAACTCCCATGGTCTCTCGTTGTCTGTTCCTCTCGTTGACCAGTTTGTCTTTGGTCCAGGTCATGTGGACCCGATCTGGAGGGGCACCTGCAGGTTTGTCGTTCATTGCAGCATGAGACGCTGTGTTGCGGTCGTGGATCAACTGGGCCTGAACATGTCAGATCATAACAAATCAGATTTTTTCAGCAATGTAACAAACATATTTATTTTGTCATTTATTTTAAAGGTCCCATGTCATGGCCGTTTCTACTGATCATAATTCCATTGTTGAGGTCTACTAGAATAGATTTACATTGTTCAATGTTCCAAAATCGCATTGGTTTCTCATACAGCATCTCTGTATAGTATGTGTATTCACTCTCTGTCCTACACGGCTTGTTGGAGCTCCTGCCCCTCCCCCCTCCTATGAGCCCAATGGCCGTCTGCGAGACACAGCGAAACCAGCCCGGACTCACACACACACACCCTGGCTGGGAGTTTGTGTGTATGCTCACACACCGACTCACAGCCTCGCCACGTCCCGCCGTCTCAGGGAGGAGAAATCGGTGGAGCTGCAGCTGAGAAAAGATTGAGCGTGTGTGTGTGAGGAAGTCAGCGGATTGGTCCATTTGGACCAATCCACGGACTTAACATAACGGCTCCGCGGACGTAAAGTAACGGCTCCACGGATTGGTCCATTTGGACATGGGCACGTCACTGTACCCAGGAAGAAAAAGAGACATCTCCAACGAGGCGTTCTGGGGCAGCATAGACACGTCTTTTCTGTGTTAGAGTTTTACTCGCTACAGGGTGTACTTGAGGGTACTGAGGGTTTGTGACTCTGCAGACCGTTTACATGCAGAAAAACCTTCATAACACACAAGGCGACGGGTAATCCCCGGAAAAGCATGACATGGGACCTTTAATAAAACATTGGATTTCCAAATAAATCCTTTCTATTAAAGGCCTAAATTAAAATGTTCAAACTCTCTAGCCAAATCACAAAGCAACACAACTTGGCAAATATGTAATTGCTTAAAGTTGTTATATAAAATTATGATCAGAAGAGGAGGTTAAAAAAAAGTAATGATTTAGATGTTGTTACTTTAAAGGCAGTGAGGTAGACAGGCTTATAGTGATGAGAGTACATGCAAGAAATACCACAGAAACACAAACTGAGTGTCTTTTCTTAGTAAACCTCCTGCTCTGTGTACGTGATCTCCATCGGTTGTCAGTGATGTTATATGTTGTTGCAGTCAAGCGATGAGTAGGGCACCGGGTCGCCAACTTTCTACGGTGCTGAGGCAGGTTGTGCCTGACGTTGCTATGAGTAACGATAACCAGCTAACCATATCACTGAAATCTAGCACCTCATTTGACCACGCCTTCCGTGGGTCAATATTGACCACAATGACATCAAGGGGGATAAATGTGGCATTTGTCCGGAACTCCTAAACAGACGTCTATTTGGCTCTATGAATCCCTCTAAGAGAAAAGAGGGAATGCAATCCAAACCATACTGAAAGTGGAACATAATCTAATGTTCCCATATACAGAGAAAAATCCTCTGGGTGCTCCAAGTGCCAGCGAGACATTATACTTGTTGATGTTACAAATTAAATTAGAGTTTTTGGATTAAGGAGAGAGATGTTCATGTTTATTAATACATGTTGGACTGTCTTCATCCATGGGAATAACATGTAAAGATTTTGTACAGGGGTTTAGTTCCCCTTATCTCAATAACTATTGGCTAGTAACAACATGACAGTTTTGGTTCCTTCAGGATCCCTGTTTCTAAAAACTACTAACATGTCAATTTCAAGTAATGTGAGTGTGGCTCTCAGTGAGCAGGTTGTCTTCCTCTAGTGGCCACTTGTGGTGCCTGTGTCTTTACCCAGTCAGCATTTACAGGACAGTGAAAAGAGGGAGGAGAGAAAACGATGAATCCCTGAGTTGAGCTTCTGATGACAGCACTGCCTCGAGCATTGCAGTTGTTATGAATGGATTATTATATGATAAAGGATGGCGTGATGAATGGTTGGAACAATGGTTGGCTATAACAAGCCGTCCTGTGGCTACCTCATCCTCAGGTATGCACTGGGTGATGAGGGAAGGCACACCTGGAGACTTCTTCCTCTTTATGGAGCTGCGTGATACATCTGTGATGCTCTGAATCTGAAGCCGTTGTCCAATCATAAAACCCGGTTGGGGGAGAGTTTAAAGATCAACATAAGCAGGGCGTTTCTATGGCCGATATCTCTAACATACTCACACCAAAAGATGAATAGAGGTAAGATACAACAAATATTTACATTTATAATGAGTGTCACAGTACCTCTCTCTCCCTCTCAGTGCGGGACAGCTGCATCTGTTTCAGCATCTGAGACCGCTGCTCCATCACCAGCGTCTTCTCATAGGTGAAAGCGGAGATGTCACTGTCATGCTAGGGGGACACAAAGAACATTTGCAACCACAGATTGTCATTCAAACACAAAGTTGTTTTATTAGCTTGATTCTAAATTTGACATATTCTATTTCTTTATCTCTGTGAAGTGTCTCCGAGCACCTGCACATTTGAGGCATTTGATGCAGGGTTTGTTACAATTTAAAGCAGTTTAAAGTATTCAGCCTTTCGGTATCCTGCTCAAGGGCAGGTATCATCATTTGATACAAAATCAAATCGACTGAGTCTCACCAATTCCACTACCTCCACCTCTGCATCCAGGCGTAGGTGGTAGAGAAACATCTGGAGGTCTTTTTTCATCTGGATGGAGTTGTCATCCATCTGGGCCACCGTGAAAATACGCATTTTACACTTCCTCCATACCTGCAGAGGAAGGAGATGAATCAGTATCAGCAGGAATAAGGATGTCAATTTAAGAGCACTTACATCTATCTTGGATCTAAGAGGGAAATGTGAGCAGGAAACTCAGCAATTAGTCAGCTATGTGAAGGGTCAAAATGTGATGCAGTTCATAAAAACACAATAGATGATTAAAAGAAGGAAATAGAATTTGGATGGGGCACCTTGTGTTGACTGAGTAAAAATGGCAGCAGCATGAGGAGTCCTCCGTCATGAACGATCCACCACACATCAATGGTTCCCTCCTCCAGACGCTCCTGGTTGTTAGGGAAATGGTCGATGTTCTTGGCAACCATCAGAGCCAGATGAGCTGACGTGGTCTCCCTTACAGTTTCTATTCAGAGAGAGAGAGAAATATAGTGAGAGAAATTGCATTTCAGATCTTTTATTTTCACGGTGGTGGGGATCAGCCACATAAGTTGTGTATCTCCCTGATTCAGTCTTTACTTTCTTTTCTCTTGAAAAGATCAAAGGTCCCTGTACTTGTTGCTCAAAAAGGCTTTTGTGTGTCTTTAAACAGCTTAAATCATTTTTTTAAATAACCCAGATTGGTAAAGTTTTAAATATCTGAAAAAAATAGTTCATTAGGAAAATGTTAAATAATAAAGATTAAGTGGATATGCTTAGTATAAACTGAATTAAAAAAATGTCACTTACTTAATACCTTATGGACACTGCCATTCACACTGACATGATAGACAAACATCTAATGAGACACTATAAATTGAACTTATGGAATAAAATAAGATGCAAGAAACATTTAATAGAAATACTTACATTGTGCGCATAATTATGTTTTTTTGTTAGATTCAATAAAATGTAAGTGAACCTAAGGAATGAAATATTTAACATGTATACATATCAAATTCGTGTCATTTTTGGAATACTGTAGAATCCTCCCCTTTGACTTTATCCTGGCACACGCTCCTGTGTAGTTTACCTATGAAGTTCCTCCTTGCAGAGGGGTCCCGGGCTTCCGTCCAGCCTGTGGGCCAGGCCATCAGCACAGCGTTGTGTTTCATTCCTCCCAGGCCGGCTGACTGGATGAGAAGGGAGAAACCGTCTCTCAGGTTGGACGACACCACCACATGGGAGAAACCCTTCATCTTCTCCACAGCCATCGTTGCTTTCAGGTTCTGTGAGAGGTGCAAAGGAGAGGAATGTAAAACAGGCTTTAAATGTAGAATTTTACGCAATACTACGAGTGAATCATTGCTTGAATCACATGCTGGCAGCCATTGTTCTACTTGTGTAATGAACTTCCTGTATACAAGTAATCCTGGCAAATGTAAGGAGAGCAAAAGCAGCACTCTGGTTATAACTGACACTGGTTTCAACGTCACTTATATATCATTTATCTTAAACTCAAACTCAAGCATGACCAATGATGACACATAACAAACCATCCTAACTTTTGACACCTTTATAAATTGATGATATGCTAATACACTTTATGTTTACAGCATGTTCTGCTTTACCCCAAGTGTCCAAAAAATATACATTAATGCAGATTAAAAAATATATATATATACTTATTTAGAGCTTATGCTAAAAAAAGATGAGAAAACAAATGATACATCTACACAGCTGGATTATATAAGATAAAAAGAAAGAGCAATTTAGAGAATTGTGTTGAAGAGTCATAAGCTTTAGCCATGTGAGTATTGCACAACAAACTTTAATAATGTGTAATGTTCATTTTACAATACTGTACATTAATGTCTGATTGATAATGATTGAACAGGCATATATGTTTACCATGTGAATAGGTGCAGCTATTTTTGGCCCTTCTAAATGGGTAGCCATTAATATTTAACACACAGTAGACCTGAGAAATACACAGGACCCACCTGCTCTCCAGTCTTGGCTTCGTTCCCCCGGGTCATGAAGGTTCCCTCCAGCACCGAGCACACGATCGTCAGTCCTTTTCCAGCTTTGAGCTGCGTGGTGAAGGACATAAGACGAGGGTGCTTTACCGTCAGGTCGGAATCCAACTTACACAACACCAACAGCTGGGGCCTGAAGAGAGAGAAAATAACATTTAAGAGACACATTAAGAATGACATATAAACAATTAAAGTATGTTGTTTGTAAAAATATGATTAAACAAGTTGGAATAAAACGATGTATTAAATGAGTGTGCAGAGTTCAGATGATTTAAGAGCCTAACAGATCTTATTACATTATTCATTACTACCAAAACACACCTTAATTTCAGACTTAAATGCGTTGGAGCTGCATTGTGGGTAATGTAGGGGCCAGGTTTCGTCAAGGAAGAAGCATACATCAAATAAACAGCTGCTTTTCTTCAGCTGCAACTATTTTGATCCTTTTTTCTGGCATTGTTCGTCAATTAGTTTTTTTAGATTTATATTCTCCCTATTTCCCCCGAGGTACATTTTAATTTGAATGATATGTCTTCAGAACTATCCCCTAACCCTTCACCGTACACACACACACACACACACACACACACAGGAGTACCTCCAATTTTTGGTGTGTAGTGGTACTTCCTCTAGCCGGATGAGAGCGTATCGCGCTGCATTCAAGGACAGACCTCTGATCCCGTCCCCCCATTCCTTCACAGCCCTGCAACCAAATAGAAAAGTTATACCTCTTTCCAGACATTTAAAAAAGTAACATTTAAATATTTAATCATACAGTCTCAGTAGCAGGCGAGATATGAAGCTATATTATATTTCACATAACAACAAATACACACAGTTGTTCTTGAAGACTGCCTTCAATGGAGTGTTTAAATCAGTTTTTATTTAACTCACCCTCTGTACTCAATGTACTTATAGATACAGCCGGCTATCACCATGGCAACCAGGGCGTAGTACCAGGAGGAGATGAACATGAGGGAGAGACACAGACTCATCCCTAAGAAGGACAGGGTCCTGAACACAAACGGTACATATTGGTACAAGTATAAGGACCAACATCTGTGTTTTCAATCAAAGCTTTAGAGAGCTTAAATCTTTCATCAAAAGCGCAGGATTAATATTAGATTAGGTTTTTGTTGGAGGCTGCTTTTACCAGTGATAGAACTTGAAGCGAGGTCTCCAGTTGGGGGTCCGGAGCAAAGTCTGAACAGCACAGGCCAGGTTCACAAACAGGTAGCACATTAGGAAGAACCTACACACACACACACACACACACACACACACACACACACACACACACACACACACACACACACACACACACACACACACCATGTACAGTATACATCACTTCAGGTGATATTAAATTGACTTACATGCATTTCCTGGAGACTTATCCTAACCCTAACCCTAACCAACACATATCATAACCCAACACGTTCTCACTCCCAACCCGTCACATGTTGACGGTCGGTCAGGGCCCCTCCTCGTCACTCTATTACGTNGTATACTAAAATAGATTTACATTGTTCAATGTTCCAAAATCGCATTGGTTTCTCATACAGCATCTCTGTATGTGTATTCACTCTCTGTCCTAAACGGCTTGTTGAAGCCGTTTAGGACAGAGAGTGAATACACATACAGAGATGCTGTATGAGAAACCAATGCGATTTTGGAACATTGAACAATGTAAATCTATTTTAGTATACCTCAACAATGGAATTATGATCAGTAGAAATGGACATGACATGGGACCTTTAATATTAACAAATGTTACTATAGCTTCCACCTCTTCATCTGAGAGCCATCTAGTAGCTCTCAGAACATTTCTGCTGTACTTCTATGATTATGTGCCCTACTTTGTCGCCTGGGATAAGAATGCATCCAATTTTATTTCCTTCAGAAGCAGTCAAGAGGAGCTCACAAACTGCATGCATTTCATTCTGGCCACACAATTTCAATCCAATCTTCTAACAGATGTAAAATGGAGATGACATCCTTGACTGCTATTACTGTGTCAAGGACCATGTCCAATAGAGTAAGCTAAAAACAGAGCGGTCCTCTAAACATCTTGTGCGCTTGCATCCTTGTCAGACAACAGCCATGTAATAGCTAATTCTAATGCAGGCAGTTTCCCAGCAGCCCCCCCCCCCCACACACACACACTGTCAAAACTACCCTTATGGATGTTAATCTGAGTGCCACGCCTTTGACAGAATGAAGTCCTCAACTCCCTCTAAAGCTCCTAAAGTCGAGCTGTAGCTAGTCAGACTAATCTGCAGACGTGGAGTGATGCAGAAATATGTATGCCAAACATGACATTCCAATAGAGCCCCCCCCCGCGCTGTTCCGAGTTCCAAAATAGACGTGTAAGAAACGACAAAAGCAGCAGGCGAGCCCAGCATTGTCTCCGCATGACCTCAGTAAATAAATGGAAGTGAACAGTGGGACAGACCAGGCAGCTCCTATAACTGTCACTTTAGTTGGGAGTATGGCCTGTTTTTTTTTACATGATATAACGAAGAATGTTCTTACTGTGTGTGTCAGCTACCAAAAATAGTGTGTGTATGTTTTACAAAGCCTTTGTTTGAAATGCAAAACGTTTCACCGTTTTAGAAGAACATCAAACCTACTGACAGACACCGAGTGTACATTAGCCATCAGTCAGGTACTGAAGTATTAACACTAAAACTTTGTTCTTTTTCTTGCTGCTCACAATGATAATGAATGCCAATATACACTGAGGATTATCTCTTTCCGCTTAAAGCAAGGCTTCACAGCAATTTGGTCCGGTGAAGGCCGTTCTCCCGTCGTTAAAAAGCCGTTTCAGTGGGCTGGTCATTAAAATGTGGCAAGCAGTGGCTGACATGTCCATCCAGAGGCATGCTGCTTGCCTCATCATGTTCTTTAATCATCGCATGGGAAGAGAGCGGCCCACACGGGGGTCACTTTCAACGAGCCGCGCCCCGAAACGGACACTCAGACGGTTCGGGATGCAATTAGAGTCCAATTAAATCCTACATGTCCTGACCCAGGAGCGACTATGTAATGAAATCCGAGGGCCACTGCTGGATGGCCCGAACAGAAAGAGAATGAGTGACTGGCAGTCAAGGCCTTCCCCCTATGGCACTACAGTAAATAATGTGTTCTTATTTCACTTGAATGGTTAAAAAGGCATTAAGAGGGAAAGAGAGAGGAGTGGGAACAAGCATCCAAAATCAGATAATGACAGCAGGGAGAGATACAGTTATAGAAAGAGAGGAAGCAACAATGTCAGGACTCTTAATCCCTAGGACACACAAGTTATCAATCTCCTGTAAATGTCAGGCACTAGGATATGCCCTCATGAATGATGGATATCTGCCTTGTTTTGTTTTTTTCATCTTCTCTACATTGTATTATTGAGTGAGCGCCATCGAGGGCTTAGAGTCTATCTTCAGATGAAATACTCCCTCCTTACAGTGGCAGCAATACCTGAATCCCAATGACCCCTGTGGAGAGTGTGCAGTGGGGGAAACCAATGAGCAATAGTGCTATTTTTTAAGTTGTGTCACCATGGAAAAGACCACCTCCTGTAATAAAGCCTTAAAGATTACAGGGAGGAGAGAACAACCTTCGATCCATGTCATTCTTCAATTGTTTTACAATGCTTTTCCTAAGAATTGAGTGGGGTGGCGATTAAGATTTACTTTTCTGAGGACACTCTGGAGCAACCTCAGGGACCCATGGTGGTGAAAACAGACCCAACACTGGCCTATCTGCATGGTAAAAACAACAACACATTCATTCATTCCCCAAGGCAACTGTTTTATTCTGTTTCAAAAGCAAAGAATTTATGATATAATCATTTGGAAATTAACTGTCTACTGTACAAATATAAAACTAACCAACTCTACAGGGACAGACTAATGTGGTGAGGGCCTGAGGTTACTAAAGACTCACACTCCAGGTCTTCACAGGAATATCACAGGGATCTTGTGGGATTATTGTGTGGAGAATCTGAGTTGAATTCCAACTAAAGCAACTACTCAGATAAAAACCCTACGAAAAGCAGCCACCAATTCCAGTCCCAGCAAACTGCCACACTTGGCTGTGGCTCGCCTCGTGCTCAAGGGAAACAGGCTGCATAATTCTCAAAGAGAGAACCAATTAATTTTAAACATGTAATGCTCTGAGTGCATGCGCCTGCATCAGTTGCTGCATATCAATATGGATCTGTTTATTTCAGGCACAAAGTTTAATTTCTGAGGGAGTTGGCTGATTAATTAATTAGTACTTATTAATCAGATTAACATTTTTGTTAACAGCTGCTCTTCTAATGACATATTCATTGCATATGTTCAAACTAGAAAATGCAGTCATGGTTTATACAAATCTTGACAGCTGGAAAGAAATACTGGTTCTTCATAATAAACTGTTAAAAACTGGAGAGCCTCACAATAATCATATTATAGCCTATTTGTTACCTCAAGCATGATCTGAACTTTGATGAAGTTATGGGGAACAAATGTGGAAAAGTGTCAATGACGTGTTTAATCAAAGAAATTACAGCGGTAATGGATTGCTTGTGTGTAAGTGTGTGTCATTAAGAGGGACTGTGTGTCACGGTGAGGTGTCGCCTAATGAGGAAATTACAGGTTACGTGCAAAAGGCTAAGCATAATGAACACATCACAGACCCGGTACCGCCACAAATGGAAATGCCAACATCCAACATAGCAGGGGAGCTACACACTAATGGCCCCGTGTGATGACTAACCAACACCGTGTCCCTCTTACCTTGAGCTTGTGTGGAGTGGATGATTAAGGAGGAAAATAAAATCCATGTGGCGCGCCACATCGATCTGCTCCAGGAGTCCTCAAACATTGTCCCAAACCGGGCAGAATGGACAACAAGTGCCCGGTGTGCTTCTGTGTCCGTGTCCCGGTGTGGTTCCGCTGCTGTCCGTCTGACGCCGGGTCTCCGTGCGGGAACCTGCCGGCACTGGATCCGGGTAAAGCGCACCGATCTGGGAGCGCAAAACCGAGCCTCTGTTCCTGCAGCCTGTAGTGACCGGAGAATTTCAGAGTGTAAATTCGTTTTTACATTTATAATGTTTTCTTGTTCCACAGACTCCGTAGGATGGAGAGATATTTTCCTAGAAGTAGCAAAGCAGCCTTAGTTGATTTCTTTGAAGTATTGGATGCAACTCAGTCAGATGAATCCAGGTTAGTCCATTGCTCGCTGCACCTGTAACAAGGCAGGATCATACTTTTTCACTGACTCTTCATGCGTCCTGGAGGTTATCTTCCTTTCCTATGTCTTACTTCAAACTTCACCCGTTGCTGCCGGCACCCCGAGTGGTTCCAGTTTTTCCCCTCGCAAAAAAAAAAAGAAGCGGACAGACTTTTACTCGAATCCTGTCCACAGCGCGCCGTCAAGGTCGGCGTTTCAGTTTGACAGACTGGAGGAGAAGTTCAGCAGCGAGGAGAGCAAAGAAAGAGAGCAGAAGGGGGTTAGGAGAGCGCACGCTGTCATGGTCAGAGCCTGCCGCGGAGGAGAGCCCGGCTGCCGGTGTGCGTCGGATGAGGACGAGTCCCGGGTTCTTTATGAGGAAACATTAGGATCTGACGTGCAGGCAGCGCAGCGCAGGTTGCCACCAAGCGGCCAGGCGCAAAAACACACTGTTACAACACTAGGCTTTCACAGGAGAGAGGGTTTTTTATTGCTTTCCACGCCACAAAAAAAGGTGGAATGAATATAGTCCTTTGTTTAAGTGATTTAAGGAACGCGTGCTTGTGTTGCTAGAGTAGGGTGCCTGAGGGGAAATCATTGTAATACTTCTGTTGGGATTTACTATGTGTCGGAGTTCATTGACCTTCTAGTATTTTAAATGTCCCATTGCATCATTAAAATTATTTATATGTTGGCTACCTTTTAATCCATTGATGGTTCTGTAGGTTAGTGCAGCACACCTTCTTTTCTTTCTCTTTTTTTAAGGATGTTTGAGGACCTTGTCATGGATGGAAAAATACATGAATGGCTGTGCTAAGTCTATACAAAAGCCAGGACTGAAACTGCTGCATGTTATCTCGTCTGTGTTGGAGAGGAAGGAGGACAAGGAGAAGGGGGAAATGAATGAGTGCAGGACAGAAGTAGGAAGAGTGGAGAGAGAGAAAGGAGGGAGGGTGATAGAGAGTGACTGAGCAAATACTGTTGCCAAAATGACAGTATCAGTAAAGTGGAGGCTGAGGGAGAGAATGAGAGAGCACGACAGAGCAAATGTTCCTGTCTTG